TACTTATAGAAACAAATTTGTCTTTTGCTTTGTCAAATTTCAGTTTAGAAGATTCTTTCTCTTCAATTGGACATTTCAAAAGACTCACAGAGACGAATTACTCTGTAATACTCTTTGATACCGTGCCTTAATTATATTTAATATTCTACGCTATCTTTCAATGAACTGCGACCCAAAGCAATATGGTTTATCACGTCCTTCGAACAGTTTATAGAACAGGATCACTCTTTGCTTTCGTGACGTTAGCTTTTAGGCGTCGAGTGATCACAATAGCCAAAAGGTGGATGTTACTGATCACGAAGGGCAGGTTCGATGGCGACGTTTCACTCAGCACATCGTACGTACGTCGACGATCCGTCCTGTGTATGCGTACGTATGGCAAAGTTGACGATACAACGTATTATTAACGGCAGGCGATCTACATGAGCTACGTACTTGTTTGTACTCCGACAGGATAAGTGTGGCGGCGAGCATGACTGCCGCCCCGTTATACCTCAGTCTCCCGAATGGGTTCCGCTGGCTAACAAACCACAAATCATACCATCAGTCTTAATTTCTATCCTCTCCATAGTATCGTTACTTTTTTAAAGGCGTGTTTTTGGCGTTTGCGTCAGTATTGAATCCCTGCATACACTGGCATATGTGTCTCGTTATTTGGTTCTGTATTATTATATTTTTGTATCTGTTACTTTAGTTCCTCGTTGGGTTCTTTGCTCTCAGTCAAGTTTCCCGAGTTACCGAGAAGCTTTTGGACAAGTATCTTTGCAGATATGTAAGTGTCATACTGTGTGTTTAGATTTGAAAGGAAGACAGTCCTGGAGAACTCGAGGCTTCGTGCAAAGTGGTCAACGGGGTCGAAAATCACTTGGAATATTGTTCTTGAAGGACTGAGAGTTGGCATTAACACGATACTGATATTTCATTCGCTAAAATTTGCAAGTTAAATCATTTTTTTTAATTTACCAACTTTCCTCGACGTCCTCAAGAGTGGCCAATACACAAAGTAACTTAAACCTCTGTGTAACTGAATTAACAAAGCTTGAAAGCTTGCAGAGAACAGAATTGAACGGCCAATTGCTGCATGCAAGCATTTTCCAAAATGAAGTGAAGTCCAGTAGGTTTTGTATGTCCAAAACGACGTGATCAATGGCCTGGGGAGTGATCATGTAATAGAAAGTAAAAAATTATTAGAATCTCTAGCAAAAGTTCAACCAACAGTTTGTTTAGAATAAACTGTTCTAAAAGTAATTCAAGTTTAACTTTCCAACGGTATTCTCCCAGTTATAGTTTCAAAGACTTGCATCCAAAACTTCAAGGCCATTATCAACCATTCTTCGCTTCCTTTGGTTTCAAAATTATCATTAATACGTTTCTTCCTTTCTTATACCAAAGAAAGTGCTAGTGAGTGTATAATAAATGCACATTCGCCTCGAGCCTGCAAAAAATGATTAAATTCCCTGCGTGTATATAACAGTGTATGTTCGTGTTCGTATGCGTGTGTATGTGTAAGTTGACTGCCAGTTTCTTGAAAATTTCTTTATCGATAAGAGCCTCGACTGTCGTGTACACGGCAGACACAGATAAACAGACAGATAAACAGACAGACTGTGCACGTACATCTCATTATACGCAACAGTACACGCACATCGAGAGACACACGATGCATTATGGCACGTATCATCCATCATATAAATGTTAATGATAAGGTGTATCACAGCAAGACTGACACACACTGCAACGATTAAAGAACAGAAATAAGAGATAAAAAGGAGCAAATACCAGCCAACGGATTCTTAGGTGTCCACAGCTGAATACATATACGAGTATAACAGTATGCTTTTGTTTCTCCATGAGAAATATACAGGATGCAACAGCGTGTCGTTGTTCGTTTGTGACTGTCAATTATGTTGCTATTATTTGCCCATAGTTATATATATATATATCGTCTTTAACGGTAGACTTCTGCCGCGAGATCTTGCATGCAGTTCACACGCATAGCACATATACAAGGTAATCTGGGACTGCTTATTCGTAAGTGCATCTCTTGTGAATTGACGTTTGAGTTATAGGAAAGCTTCCGCAACAGAAAGATTGCCTGTGCGTGTGAGTTCAGAATCATCGTAGCTGCTTTTTCTTTGCTTTGTTCTTGGTTAAACGTTAATATATGTATACATAGGATGATGATTGTGATAATGATGATTGTGAAGCTTGAGGCAAGTCGTTGGAAAATTAGTAGATTCTTTCTGTAAAATTGTAATAACATTTGAATGATGAAGGTAGTACGCTTGTATGGATGACTGCTGAGTTGGAGTTTCATTAAACAAGAAGTTTTCTTGTGTCTCCTCGTCTCGGTAATTAAGGACTCTCTTTTTTGTCTGAGGAAATAAAGAATGTCTTGAAAGTGAATAGAGTGAAGTGGAATATGAGACACTCAAGAATGTTTTTGACACATCCATCATAGGTTGACTGGAAATATATACTTGAAGCGTGACAAAATATATATGTAGACATATAATATTCAACGTCTACTTCCATGGCAGAAGACTGCTGAACAAAAAAGGAGCAAAAAGAGAGAATAAAAATGAAAAAAGAGAACAAAAAGATAGAAGAGAAGGAAAAGAAAAAGTTGCGTTTACCTAGATATCAAATTCTCACATTGAAAGATACAGTTGTGTGATGTAAAAATATTTCAATATACCTCTGTCTGATGAAAAAATGTGAAAAAAGAAAATACTTGAGAAGCAGGCAGCAAATACACGTACAAAATTCATTCCCAATGCTTGGAAAAATCTTGTATCAGTAGTTACTGAATCACTTATATGCCGATAACATATCATATAAACAAAGCAATCCCTGAAACTGAAAATTGTGTCAAAAAAAGATAGATATGGGGAGAGAAAAAAAAAAAAAAATGGAAAGAGAATGTGAATGGATGAAGAAAACTTTGTAAGGAAACTCAACAGCTGCCGATGTATCAAATTCGGCATTTCCTAAAAGTAAAAATCACTTCGATGATTCTGTTAATGAATATTTAGAAAAAAAAGGAAAGATTGACCGACAGTGTTTTAATAAATGAAATGAAACGAAAAGAAGAAAAGAATTGCAAAAGCGTACCCTGCCGCGCGTGTATGTGTGTTCTGCACACATATATACGCATACACATATATATACGCGTACACATACGCGCATGCATTTTACATACACGTGTGTATATAGACATATATCTACGTATATACACGTATATACGGGCAACTTACATACGTACATACATACGCACAAATGTGCATGCAACACCTTATAATCAATGAAAAAAGAAGAAAATAAAAAACAAAACCGGATGCAAGAAGAAAAGTCGGATATTTGGAATTCAAAAAAGTTGTTACTTTAATTACGTTTTAGTATTATACTGGTTTTCTCCTTGGACAGAAAATTAAAGTAAGAAAGTAACAGATTTTAATAGGATAAAACCAAATAAATTTGGTGTAAATAAAAGTAAAAATAATGTTTCCTTTGAGAAGGAGAAAGGTAATTAGCAGTCTTGTATTTGAAGAGAAGAGATTAGGCAAGAGCATAAAGATACATGAACTGAGATTTTAAAGTGCTATACATGAAATTCAGTTATTAATATGAACACAATAAGCAATTATATCGTTGAAGATTCATTAAGTATTGCTAACAGTATTTAAGAAAACAATTTCATTAATTATTCGTGTATCTTTACATTATATTATGAAATTATTTAAAAATTACAGATCAATCATGCAGGAGGCAATAGGAGATAACAAAAGGAACATCTTTTACCTAATACAAAAATGACGAATCACACTTTATTTTACAATAACAGGACTTTGAAAATACAAGTATTAAACGTCTGTCGTCAAACAACCCGTTGTACATGCCGGCACGACAAATTGTTTGATGCCAGGCGCCTAACATTTATATTTTCCACGTTCCATTTGTATAAAATAAAATGAGTTAAAATACATTCTTACAAGATAAAGATATTCCTACTGTGATCCTCCATTACGTCCTGCTTTATAAACGTGATAATATTAAATATAAATATATATCAGCTAATAGAAAAATATGAAAAAATGATAGCAAAGATTTGCAGGTAATAATTCTTTGAAACTTGCATTCAATACCATTATAGTACCTATCAGAGTAATTTGATACTGAAGTAAAAAGCTGGGAAAGACGGGATATGGTTTGGTAGCCTGATATTCGAGGAATTCTCTTCTCTTCAAATAGGAGATGTCGAGGATCCTGACTGAAACAGAATGACTGATTTTAATCAAGGTAGTTTATAAAAAAAATAAAAAAAAAAAAAAAGACGAAAAAGGAAAAGAAAGCAGAAAGGGAGAGTTAGAAAGAAATAGCAGCGCAAAACAAGGGACCAGAAATGTCTCTTCGTTGTGTCGAGTCGCTGAAATAAAAAAAAATATAGCACGACTTGCGCGAAATAAGCGATTAGAAGCTTGCATCTTGCAAGCAAAAATGCGACGAAACGAAACAGAGAGAGAAAGAGAAAGACAGGCGAAAGAGATACACGTTGGATAGGCAGACAACCAGAAGAGACTTAAATAGAATAAACTTAAAATAATACAGAAAGAAACACAAAACTGTAAAAAAAAAAAAAAAAAAAAAAAAAAAAAAAAAAAAAAAAAAAAAAATAGAAAGAAAAAAAGGAAGAAAAAGTTAAAAGCAATAAGTTAGAACATAGTTTTCAAGACCAATTAGAAATTAGAAGTTAGAAATAAATGTAAGCTTGACTCGAAATTGAAAAAGAAAGTAGTAATTATTGAGACAGAGAAGGTAAACGTGGATAAGAGAGGAACCAGCTACGTCAAACAGAAAGCACCAGTAAGAAGGAAAACTCAAACTGGTTAATGAGAAAAACAAAACCATTGAAAAAAAAAGTCAAATAAAATGGTAATCATAATAAAGAATTAATATTTAAGAACGGTCAAACAGTGCGGAGATTGGATTTGCGGACTAACCATATAGTAATCCTGAGAGGGGGATCTGCCTGTCACAGATACATTCTGCACCAGAGTTCTATTGCTCGTCTGAAAGTAGGTTACATATTCAATTTATATAAATAGCTTAACTGAGTTGTGTATCTATAATATTTTTTTTTCCTTTGTTTATTTGTTTCTATAATAGCTTAGAGATGTAATTTCATTCAGATACATTACTCTTTTGTAGGTGAAATCTGTGTATGTGTGTGATTCTTGCATTGTAACACATCGTTATAATTTTCTGCTTTTTATCACCATGCTAGATCAAGAATAGTGTTACCAGAGTAAGAAGAAAGGAAATAAGAGAGAAAGCGAAGTATAAGTCAACAGAATAAAGAAAGTGAAGATCATTTCGGTTAAAGTTCACTCCTTTTTTTTTCCTTTTCACTCTTTGGACTATGCGATCATCCCATCAAACAATAATCAAGTGTTTTCAATCAATCGACATCGTAGGTAACTTCAATCATGGATTCTCTCGCACGTCCAAGAGATGTTTTCTATAAAATAGCGTCAGTAGCACCGTTATGATGTAAAATGTGGCTTACACCATCACGAGGCGTCATGTTGGTCAAGTATGCGCTAGCTTCATCACGCTTAACCCGTTCCCATTGAGAGAAACGAAAGAACGAAAATAAAAGAAACAGAAAAATACGAGAGGCATCGTAGACGAGGAAGGGCTTATTTGTCCTTTCCGACTCTCGCTCGAGCATCGATTCTCAAATTTTCAAGTGTTGAACAATTCTGCAGATATTCTTACGCTAACCGTCTATACCTAATTTCCTCTCTGTTGTACGGTCCCAGGTGAGTCTCGGTATTTTCCTTTCAATAGCCTAGATATTGACTTTCACGTTAAAACATTTATTCCCGGAACTGTCACGTATCAAAGCAGGCTTCTTAATCTCTTTTGTACTATGTTCCTAAGATCAGAATTCCATGGATTAATATCAAGGAAGAAGCTCGAAGGTATCTGTTCCTCCACTTCTATAACCATTCCCGATTGCGGGAAATGTAGTCCATAAAGAGAATATGACTCGAACTGAACTTTGGGATAGAGAGATGGATCAAGGACTGCTTGGACTACTACAAACTTGGTTCTAAATGATCAAATCCGCGTCGCTACGTCGAGCAAACCTATGACTAGCTATCTAAAATGCCTACGTGCTTGGGTTCTAGGGATCCCAAACAATTAGGCAGTAAATACTGAAGCTGAAACAAGCTGAAGAGTTCTACCATAGCCGTCTCTACGCCTTACCCATTCCTGGTTACGTTCATCAACGTTAATTAAACTGTTCGGCTGCTCTGTTCGACTTAATTAAATTTTTCCCTAGGAGGAAGGGATTTCTTGCCTGTAAATGGGTCGATAAGGCGACAGAGGACAAGAGAGGCACGAGTAGGTATAATATAAAAGGATAGACAACGATCGATTATTCCGGTCATTCGATTAAGTTACTGACTTCCTCATGGCTCAATTTAACCTCTTCGATTTAATTTGTTGAATCAGAGGTGTGATTTTACTCAATAGATGAGCCAAAGCCTGTATTTTCTGTAAAAGACACAGTTATGAATGCAATGTAATGTAATGTAATGTAATGTAATGTAATGTAATGTACTGTACTGTACTGTACTGTACTGTACTGTAATGTAATGTAATGTAATGCAATGTAATGTAATGTAATATAATGTAATGTAATACAATGTAATGCAATGTAATGCAATGTAATATAAAATGAAGATACCAGGTCGAAGAGGTTAAGTGAGATAATCGTAACACTTGTGAATCATAGTATATACACTCTTTGAACATCTGAAAGGCTTTTTCTCAGGACGAGTAACCGACTGCTATGTAAGGGTGAATGTTGTAACCCTTTGTAAGTCCAAATTTTAATACCAACTATGAAACAATGGTAAACGTAATTTATCTGAAAAAAAGCACCGACAAATATTAAATACGTTGACTAAGAAAATAATCAGGCTCTAGTTAAAGATAGAGAACAATGGGTATCTGTAAAGAATTATTTCCAAGGAGAATAGACACCTGAATAGTCAAACTTGGTTTCGTCTCATAAAGGGTTAAGAGCCGATAATGGTGTCGAATGGATTATTAAGAACTTGGATAACCTTCAGAAGACCCTATAAAAATTCAGTCACTGAAACGAGAATTAAGATCAGGGAAAACGACCTGAAGGCGATCGACCAGGTCGAAAAATCGAACGTGTAACTCTCCAGCTGCTCAACATAGAGGACATACAGTTTCCTTAATCGTCGAGCTTTCTTTCTTTCTATGGCTAACATAGAACATATCGCAAAATCAAGAGGGCAAAAACGCAAGGTACGCATCGTCGAATTTACACGGCAAGGAACTCAAATGAAAATGCAAACCAAGGTAAACAACGGTCTTAAACGTAACAAACCAAATGAGAGAAATTAAAAAACGTATATATGTGGAAGAAAGTATATAACGTACGTATATATACTTTTTTATTGTGCATCTGCGCAGACTGTAACACTACACATGAATGCTTTTTCACTGATGAGAACTAGAATTCGAGAATCAGATTGAAAAACTGATACCTGCACATGGATCTCACTTGATATTAATTCTTCTAAACCAAATGATCCACTTAAAACTTCTATATCCTCGTTTTCATCCATACAACAATTTAGAAAGCGTAAAAGGAGATTCTCGTCGATGACCAAAGTGACTGGGAGCCAGGACCAAGCGAGATACATGTTAATCTCAGTCTTTCCCTCATCATTTCTTCATCTTGTTTCCCTGACTGAAAAATCATTCAAAGTGTAGTAATCGATCTGCTTGATTATGATTAAAAAGAGAACAACTTGTTGCTACGAAGATATGGTATATCGAGTGTTGTAACACAGTCGATGGTAAATACACGTGGTTCAACAGGAACGCTGAACACAGCCGGTTGATGATGAAACAAGGCCTAGAAATCGGGACCCGGGCGACGGAAGATTCGTCGACCCGAGACCAAAGAGAGAAAACGTCGGAGCGTCGCGTGCGCGGTTGTTTATATTCTCTTTTCTTTTTTTTTTTTTTCTTTTTTTTTCAAGTCATCTCGTTAATTCTGTATTTTTTTCTCTTTTTTCTCTTATTACTCTTATATTGTTTAACTTTATCCCGGAGACGGGGAGAGGGGAACCCGAGAGAACGCTGACTTCGAGTGATGGCATGAGAGTGAGAGATAGGGATAGTTACCTGTGTCTGTAGTCGTGTTAGACCACGGATCCATAGAATTTGTCCTGCGCGCGGCTTTTTATCCGAGTCAGGGTCGAATTTCTCATCTCCGAGATTGATCGCACCGATATCATCCGGCTGGCCGCGGCCCCATCTGTTTTTAAAAAACATGAAACCAATTCTTCATCACTCGATCCCTGTTACACACATGGTCTATAATCAAAGTAGGTTTTTTTTTTTTTAAGAGGGAGATTTTGATTCTTTTTTTGGATTTGGCTGACTGATGACGCGTAGAGCCGGCTCCTCGACGCACTGCACCCAAAATTTTCTGTTTTACGGTCTTTCCCCTCGCTCCTTAGCTTGGAGGACACCTAACCACGCTATTTCTTTAACACAGTAGACGATGCTGGCTAGTTTAACATCTTTCTTTTTAATGGAGAATCGATTGACGGTGGTATAACGGTGATCGGAAATGACCGAGATAGGAAAGCAGTCGGACAGAGAGACGTACAGGCTGTTTCAGAGTTACTAGGTACAAATATCTTCGTATTCGATAAATTTCTCCAACGAGATGCTACGTGTTGCGAATCATCGATCGTTCGCAACGAACTTACTGCAAGCAAACATTCACTTTCTTTCTTTCTTCGCTCTTCGCATCCACTAGTACCTATTCTGCTCTTCCATGGTACTCGCGAATCATCGAATCATGATACACAGGCCATCATCCTTTTCCTTCAGTGAATTTTGCTTTTAGTAAGGCGTTACGTTTGAATTACGGTATCCGAAAAGGACCTGTAACTGCGAAACAGCTGGTAATATATGTACATACATACAAGAAAAATGCGACGTGTAAAAAAATGAGCCAACGAACGAGGGGATGCGATGTGAGGTGCAATGCGGACAAAGTGAGCGAGAAATGCGGTTTTCTGCTGATGAAGAACGACTGTACATGTGTGTATGAATAATGTCTATGTATATGGCGTGTATAATGACGAAAGAGATACTTTTGTACTTGTTAGGAGAGGGGCGACAAAACGGAAACGAAAAGAACGAAAAGAAAAGAAAAGAAAAGAAAAGAAGTAAAGGAAACAGAAATACAATGGTAATGAAAAGGAGGGTCAAGTGATGTTAACACGTTCTGAGGAACAATGCACGCGTGATCTGGTAAATTTCAGGACTGGATGTGAGGTCTTAATACTCGATCATATTTTCTCCTTCTCCTCTGGACAGGTTCCTCTTTTCTTTTTCATTTTTCTTTCATTTTTCGCACAATTCACGAGAAACGAGTCTGAGCGGCGTACGTAACTTGTGGTTTCCTCTGCTACATGTGCTGTTAGTCGCCCAGCAAAATGCGAGATCTCCCTTACCTGTTCAGGAGGGACGATATTTCTAGTAAAGCTCAAGAAAAACCGCAACTACTTCTCTATGTGTCCTACGACAAGTGGCTCGGTAAAAGCTTTAATAAGCGAATGCAGAAGATTAAAAATGTGTGAGAGCCCCATGTTATTATGTATATCTTTGTTATACTTCTCGTGATTATAACACGTGTTTTATACCACAGCGGATAGCCTAAATTATATATAGGCTGTATATAATGATAATACTATATATATAATATATAATGCACGATACACAATATATAATATACATGGTATTGTTAATGCGCTCGACGCGAGAGCAGCAAAAGTTATTGGACCCAATTCGCAAGAGATTCTTTCACGATTCAACCTCAGCTTGCGAATTGGAAGGCAACCTAAGCGAATAGAGAGAAACAGATGCAGAGAATGAAAAAAACCGGTTCAGAAGGAGAAAGTTCAGTTCCGTGCGTGTGATGAGTAGAGATGAGGACAGAGAAAGAATAAGAACGAAACCAGAGGTGGGAAGAAACAGACAAGAAGGGTAGAAATATATAGATGTGTACAGACAGAGAGAAACAGACAGACAAAAAGAAAGAAAGACAAATAGACAGTTAAAAGTTAAAGTTGAAAGAGGACAGTTGAAAGAACATAGTCGTAACAGCTCCAGCGAAAGAGCAGAGTAATTACAGATAAAGCGCTAAGCGCAAAAGTACCACTTATTATAATAATAGATCTAGGTATTCCGAATTTTCAACTCCGTGAAAACTTCGGAATCAAACGTTCCAAACTTGAACTCGGTTCAAGCGCGCTACTGAGATCCCTTGCACCAAACAGAAAACGCAAATACATGTATAGTTAGATATCGTGAGAGACGAGTACGGTAAATCGCCAAGACGCTGTTCTCATTGGTTAATCTTTCACACAAACAAGTACGTAGACGTCCGAGAAGGGTTTTCAGTCATGCAACGGCTAAGCTTAATAACGGGTTTAGGTTTACAAACGAGAAACGAGTAACAGTTTACTATCCACCAAGCAAATTGATGCTCGTTTCCTCCAATGGAGACTCTACGTACTTTGACTACTGCTATATCAGCTACTACGTACTACCACAGTATTAGTATCTGAATAAATATTTAAGATCCTTAGATATCTTTGAATCTTCGTATTTCTTACCATTCAGATTCGTTTCTTCCGTAATCTTCGACTCAAAGTGTTTCTAGGATAGACTCATTTCATAGTCTCCAAAAGCGTTTCAAACTTTTGCAACATCCTTGAAACACAATTCAAAGATATATACGTACTTCTTGTATTCGGATACTGTACTACTGTTCTATCAATGTTGTTTGTCGTCAAACGTTCAAAATTTCATCTTCAGAGGAAACTTGGAACGTTTTATTACTGTACCGGCACTAACGTGTAATTACAAAAACAGGGGAAGAGGAAATAGATGAGCACGCGCGATTATTCTTGTGCAATGTGTTCGATCCGGATCACCGTGATCACCGTGTCACGACTTTGAAGGTATCTCTTTAATATCTGGGTATGGGAACATGCTACGTAAAGCGATACATTAGTATGGTGGGGTGAAAGACATATGACAGGCAAAAGCAATAGGAAGGACTTGTAAAAGCGAAAACATAAACTAACAGAAGCGATACGATTATACAGCTACCAATAATAATAATTAATATGACTTCAACGATGCATGCCTCCCTTCTATTACACCTTTACACGATACCGATTATGAGTGATACTTATCTTTCAAATGGTACTGTCTTTTCGATGTTGCTACACTCGTATTTCATATATAATATGCGAGTATGTGACAACGATGGATGTCAGTTGTACGTAAGAAAATACTGTGCCAATAATATATGTACATAACATGTGCTCTGGAAGGTCCACTTAACATTAATATCGAGGATTGTCTACGGAAGTGTGCTCTCAAATTTTAGGAACCAAGAATGGTTATTACGAGGTTTGGAAACAGAAAATTCTCGATATTAACACCATGAAATATATATAAAAATTGTACAATATATCTTTATACAACTACCAACCACCGTCAAGAAATAAGAAATTCTCCAATAACAGAAATTCTGTACTCGTACAGTAGATATACGCAGAATAACAAACACGTATGATAAATCTTTCTCGATAGAGAGTTCGATTAAAATACAGAGGTTCATGCAAAAGTGATTATCGTGTACCAGGAGAGACTCGATAAAAAGTCATAAAAGCTACATATGACAACCCATTGAAACTTAAATAAGAATTCATAATCGCGCTTCCAATTTCCAAACTAGTTACTTTGCAAACAAGACACACATCAGAATGTATTCGTAAGATTCATTCTCAAAGCTTCAAAGAAGTATCCTTGTTACTTTTTTTTTTTACTTCAAAAATATATGCCTGATACAACGCGTTCCTGTTGCTTCACACAATGCAAGAAAGCAAGAAAAATCCACACTTTTTCCCATCTTACATTCTCCTGCTTTACTTAGTAATGCGTGCAATATGGCTGATTTAATTGTTCATAGCTTCTAGATGCTTTTTAAAGTAGTTGCTGTACGTTGACTTCTGACATTCTCGCTTTCGAGTTTCAGACCAAGACAACAAAATTTTTAAGAAAACTAATAGAAAAAATTATACAATAAAAAAACAAAAAAGAAACTGTAAAGAGTATGTAACAGAAAAATCTTTCCGAAATGTTTTCTCAACGAGAGCACAATATAGGCGAAACCATTATTTTCTTTTTTCTTTCGTTTTTATAGGTTATGCTGCCAAGGGCTGCGCCCGCTAAACTGAACAGAAGTATCTCTCATCATTTAGACACTAAAAGAAATGGTAGTTTTTTTACATGAATATGTTTATAACTTACGAAAGAATTTTAGGAATCTTGCGCGTAGGAATAGTCGTAATTACTTGGCCCCACAATAGAGTACCGACTCCGAAGAACAGGCACCACATCCATTGTTCTAATGTGAGAGCTTTCGTGCTGAACGCCATTTTACCATATTGTATGATAACTACCTAGAAAACAGACATAGGATCTTATTGAAGAGACATAAAAGATGGCAGCTTTGATGTCATCCGAATGAAAAGAGACTTCTCTTGTGTCCATTTCTGCTTGGCTGAAACTCTTTCCTTTGTTAATCTATCATGTAATCGAGAGAAAAAAGTGTGAAATTCTACCTAAGGGATAACTATTTCTTAGTATAAAGCTAAAAACAAGTATTTAATCGACTTTTCCGCTGCAAATTCAACTTCTACATCATACTGTGCTAAAGTATACTAAAGATTAATCAGAGAAATATTTAAGATTTCTAATGTTCTACCATATTGACAATTTCTATTCCTAACTTCCCATGTATTAATCGAATTTAAATTAAACAAATATAAATATCACCAGACACGTAACCATAATTCTAATAATAATTCCTAATAAATAAACGATGATTTACCTGCGATAGACATGTGGCGACCCAGATAGAATAAAAGATGGGGTTGGTGAATATTCCTTGGAAGACATTACGCTGACCATGGATTTTTCTAGCGTTAAATTCGTTGAAAAGAGTCATCATGACGAATGTGTTGAAGATGACGGTGAAATGCTGCGTTGGACCGCCGCCAGCCTGTGCAACTCCTCGGCCTGTATCGATGTCAAGCATCTTATCACCTATTAATCAAACAGTTTATCGTTAAGGATACGCTCCGCATCGATCACCTTGGTCATCTCAAAATCCAAAAAGGAAATTATTCGTACAAAATTACTTCACTTGATATTAATCTAAACTATTTCTCGTTTTCCTACTATATATGTATATATTAACACAGATATTCCAAGTTTGCAAGTAGCATATGCACTTTCTTTATTTTGGATTCAAGATAACCTACAGGAAATATAATCACGCAGCAAAAGACAGAGATATTTACCAACGAAAAGAAGCATAAAAATTACAGACAACTGATAGACAGCTTGACCGAGAATGTTCTTCATCATTGTCCTGGAGATGAGCGGTTTCGTGCGACCATACGGTCTACGAAGAAGAAGATCAGGCGTAGGCAATTCGGTGGCCAATGCAAGAGATGCTAACGTGTCCATGATTAAATTCACCCACAACATCTGCACCGCTTTAAGAGGAGAATCTTGCACGGCACATGCTCCGATAAAAGCAACTATAACAGCGACGATATTGACGGTCAATTGAAACTGCAAGAATTTCGCTATACTATCGTAGACGTTTCTACCCCACATAACTGCCTTCACGATTGATGAGAAATTATCGTCCGTTAGGATGATATCGGAAGCTTCCTTGGCGACATCGGTACCGGCGATGCCCATGGCAAAGCCGACATCCGCCTTTTTCAAAGCAGGACCATCGTTCGTTCCATCACCAGTTACAGCAACAACTTCGCGACTCACGCTCGCTTTACTATCGATTATGCCTTTCACGAGTGTGTACTTGTCTGTAGGCGACGATCTAGCCAATACCCTCAATTTCGGCCACACTTTGTCCAACAAATGTTGCTGTATCTCGCCGTTGCTGTCTCGGATTCTCCTATTGAACTCTTTGCCTTCTAGGATCAGGAAGTCTTCGTTTGGCTTTAAAATCCCACATTTCAGAGCAATGGATCGCGCAGTGTTTATATTGTCTCCGGTCACCATTCGCACAGTGATGCCTGCCTTCTGACACTTCCTGATCGCGTCCGGCACCTCCGGACGTACCGGGTCCTCAATACCGACGATGCACAAACACGTAAGATTGTTCACGATATTCTCTTCATCATCCCAATTCGGCTCGTTGTCGATGTGAACTTGATTGATTTCTGCCTTTCCGGGAACGAAATCGCGATACGCGACACAGATGGTACGGAGTCCGTCACACGCCATCGGCTCGATCACGTTCTTTACCAGACGCCCCTGCATCTCTCCGGTAAATTTTTCCAAATGACCTTCACGACCATATATAAAGGCACATCTGAAACAATCAAACAAATATTAATCTTCTGTCTGACACGATATAATTGGAATAAGCGACGAGTTTTTAATTGTCTTAACAAATTATTATACATTGGTATAGTTAAAATTTGATCTTGATATCGAGTGTTAATAAAATCCTTCTTTTTTTTCAATCATTTAAAAAGGGATATAACGTACTTCTTCATAATGATCTCGGAAGCGCCCTTGGTGAAGAGCCTGAATCCACCACCTTTCCTCGGGATGACGGTGGACATGCTCTTCCTAACACTATTGAACGTGTACACCCGTGTGAAGGTTTCCTCAGGTTGATCGTCTCGTATCGTCTGATAGTTCATGCCCAGGGCTACTACGAATCCAAGTAAGGCACATTCGGTTTTATTGCCGACTTGAAGCGGCAATTCTGTAGGGTCCTGCGATGGCATTATTCTGGATGTGTATGCCGAATTAACAGAGATAGCTTGAATTATTAAGTTTCCAATGTGCGACGGAATCTCCACGAACTCCGGGGTCGTCTTGCTCATCTTCTCGCATATGTACGACTGAACGACGGTCATCCGGTTGGTGGTCAGGGTACCAGTCTTGTCCGAACAGATTGCCGTAGCGTTACCCATCGTTTCACAAGCATCCAAATGACGCACCAAGTTGTTGTCTTTCATCATTTTCTAAAATCACACAAAAAATCAATATAAATTCTACATTTATCTCTTAACAATTCGCATAATCTTAATATTAAATGGAATCCAGTTTTTTAACAGAGAAAAAGAACAAATTCTTCAGCGAGAAGTGTATAAACACTCCAACGAATCAAAGTAAAAGTAAAAGTAAAAAGTAAGTCTTTAAAGTACTCTTCTCATCTTCAGAGTACACTACTGAAGAATAATAAATAGGAAAAGAATATCTTATTTACACGCTGTTGCCTTTTAAAACTATTTTATCGATTTCAGCGTACAAAAGAGAAAAGAATAAATTATGCGAATATATACCTTAACGGAATAAGCAAGGGAGAGGGTGACAGCTAGAGGAAGACCTTCGGGAACGGCGACTACGAGTACCGTTACACCAATGATCAAATGCCGCACCAGATCACCAGCGTACGTATTTTTCCAAGGTTTTTCCTGTATGATAAACGTGGTAACGCAAAACTGAATGATTAGAATGATAACGGTAAGCCCTGCTATGGTCGAGCCGGCATAACCGATTTGTATGGCGAGTTTAGTTAGCTTGGCTTGTAATACACTCTTCTCCTTCTTCCCTTCTGGTCCACCCCCATGGCTGGGTGCGTGATGGTTCTCCCCGCCCTCGTGCTTGCCTCCACTCACATGGCTGTTTCCAGTTATTTCTACAGCTTCGTCTCCTTCATTAGCAACATACAAATTCGTTTAAGTTCTTCCACAATTATCATCCGAAGCTCGATTCCCTTTCTTTTCTTTATTTACATCTTTGTACTAATTTCATCGGCAACACAAAGCGACTTGAAAGTAATATTTCTTCAACAAGAGGATGTCAATGCCTTCGACTATTAATCCTCGTATAGCAATTTCGTTTAAATGGCTGAACAAAAATTAGGCAAGTAGTGGAATCGAGTTTCCTCATAGTACATTTATAACCACATTGCTTTTACATATTTTTTCGCTGACATTGTGATACTGACGACTAACGTTAGTAATCAGTATCCATCGAAGAAAGGGAAGAAGAAACGTAGATAGTTGCAATAAGCCGGCAAAAAGGAGAGAATATAATCAAAAGTTAATCGAAAGGCATAACAATTACACGTTAAGAAACACAGATGTGTAAAGAAAATTATAAGTATACAGGAAAGAAAGAGAAAGAGAGAGAGAAAGAGAAAGAGAGGGGGGGGAGGAGGGGAGGAAGAGTGTTACTAGAAAAAATGCAGAAAAATGCAGAAATAATCAGAAGCTGTACAAAATTTTAGTAGCGGCTAAAACTCTTTTTCAAATGTGCATAAATCATTGCTATTGGAAGCATTCACAGAATCAAATGTAACAGAAGATACAGAGAAGCACGGATGAGACACGACTTTACTTTTTACGCTTTCTTCATAAATCTTCCTCATTTACTTCGTACGTGTACAAGTAGACCAAGAAAACAAGATAGGAACGATAGAAGTGAAAGAAAAAAGTAGACTGACTTGACGAAACTCAAGACTGCGTTCGCGCACAGAGGCCATTATAGAGTGTGCAGTAAACGAAAAACAGAGTGATGGACAAAAATTCAAAATCAATAGTGTTCTCTTATACATCCTTAGATATTACTTAAAGGATTTCTCGTTACGTGTGCGTAATTCGTATAAAAATAGAAAGGAATAAAAGAAGAGAAAAAAAAGAGTAAAAAAAGAAAAAAAGAATTGGAAACAAAAAGAAAAAAATAAACGCGCGCGTGCTCATTTAATATATACGTAAATCGAACACCGAAATGATGAACAGTAATGATTTATGATAGTGCTTTATTCACCTGTTAAAGACTTCTTCTTCCGCTGCTTCTTAGCCTCTAGATAAAAAAACGCATGCAAAACAAAATCGATTAGCAGTCTATCTAGAATTGTAATATGCCAGTCGTAAGTTACGCCATATTTATAAATTCATTTTTATTTTTAATCTCACAATTTCTACCGTGTGTTCTGTTCCGGTATACTAGCAGAATGTTTATTAGGATTCTAAGTGTACAGCCCAGAAGGTTTTTCCTCTCATCGATGCTAACTCGTTTTTTGTTATATTAATCTTTCTCTTTTTTCTTTTTCTCTTATTCTGTTAATCACTTTGTTTGAACAGAGTATTCAGGAAACAGTGTACAAAAATGTTATACGATGCTCAAAGGGCCCTCCAGGTTGTGCAACATACACAATATACACAACAGCGTAAATCACAAGGAAGCATACTGGATTTATGTCTATTTAATCATTTTTAAACAGCCGTAAGGTCGATTCTTACTATTAACCGTTTAAGTGCAAGTGTATTGGGTCGAGATCTCGAAGTGGCGATATATTCAGATTGTACTGCAGCGCCACTTCAGAGAACGGCGTGAGCGATAATTACTTTCAGATATTGCTCTGGAAACGTTTCAATGCCAGTTCCAATACTACGCGAGAGAAAGTTTAGATTTTAATTAAAAAATTTCAATTTCATCTGTCTTGAGATATTAAGATAGGTTATCCCATATGTATGGATATTTTTAACATTTGTAGGTACTATTATTTCTGGTTTATTTCTGGCAAATTTTAGTATTCAATAAAAATATATTTTTGAAATATGTACTGTACATAATTTTATAAATGTGTAAAAAGTTTTTAATGTATTTTACTTTAAATATTTATTCTTTGTAAGTAGGCAATATAATTACTAGTATTCACGCTTTGAACAACTGAAATCTAGCTGACGTACGTGTTTAGATAAATAATAACGACGATCGTGTCGTTCGTCGTATTTTAGCATAAACGGAAATAAACGCGATTGCACCGCTTAGCATTTTTCGATAAGATTTTTCCAATGACCCTTAACATTTAAACGGTTAAACCTGAAGATAATGAACATTTTTTATTTTTGGTATATTAGATAATATAAAGGCACATAGTAATTGTCTGTAAAAAAAAAGAAAAAAAAAAAAAAAAAAAAAAAAAAAAAAAAAAAAAAAAAAAAAAAAGATAAATCAAAATATAAAATACAATTTATTAATATGGATTTTCCGTTTGTGAGAAAATCGACTACGAAAATTTATCATTTACCGACTATTAGACTATTTAAATGTATACTATTGACATTTCTTATAATACAATAATATTGTAATATTTTATGTTGAAATATTTTTATATGGAAGAATAATTAAATATATCCCACAAATTTTTGAAATCGATTTTCTCCAAAATAAAATTTCATATCGAAAAATTTTATTTTACATTTCCGATCTGCTTTGTGTTATCAAATTTATCTTATTTAACGTATAAAAATTAATTTTACCTCTTATGAAATTTATAATTTTTCATAGTAAGAATTGATCTAGACATAATGATAACACTAAAAAATATTTCTAACTCATTCAATGAAAGGTTTTATACACAAACACATAAGACAAAAATACGAACATTTACAACCAGATGCAGGCTGATATAAATATGTCAAAAAAGGCGCATGATGTAATTAGCTAATAAAAAAAAAAATAATAATAATAATAATAATAATAACAGCTGCAATTAACGTGCGATAATACTTAACTGTTGATTATATAAATTTCAAATTATAAAAATTACAAAATTTTATCATTTCAAACATTCATTTCCAACTTTTCAACAAATTTCTCTAATCTTTTCAATGTAATTGTAAATAAACTTTTTTGATGTAATAGCAACAAAGTGGGCTATAAATATCTTTTAAAGAAAGAAAAGAATATTAGTAAACAATCCAGGGGCTGGTTTAAAAATACTGCCATTGCATGCTAAAGAAAATGAAATCATGACAAATAATTGGAAAACTAAATCCACAATAAAATATTCTCACATCAATTCAAAATAAACACCATGCGTCAATTATTGGTACTCTACATTTTTTTTACATATTTTATGCCAAGCATTTTATAATACCCACTACTACTCTCTTTTAAAATGACTAGTAGTTAAATTTTTTCATAATTTGACTATTTAATTTCTAGCATTTTCTATGGGGAAGAAATAGCGAGTTTCCATTAATTTATTAAGTATTATAATAGGTCTGACCATTTTGAAAACAAAATTATTCTTAGTAATTCCTTTCTTCAATGCTTGTGTAATTACACTAAATTAAAATCACTTTGTTTTAAGTTTTGTTCTCAAAATGATTATTTCCAAAAAATACACTACTACTGTATATCATTCCAAAATATTCAAATCTAATAAGAACACCTTACATCAATCGTTTCCCACTGAAATCGAGTTTACATACCTTTCTTCATCTTCTTGATTTCCTGTTCCTGCTG